GAAACTAAAAGAACTCAAGAAAAAGTCAAGCCTCGAGGTGCAACCTTGAAACCCTCTGTGAGCAAAACCTTGACCGACGCAGGAAGCATCCAGGGAATGAAAAGAATAAAGAGCCACGGTACCAAAAAGAACGAGTTAACAGTCCACCATTTCAGCAAGAGCCAATATGAGCAAGAGCCCATGGTGCTGAAGAAAGGAGTTCAAATTGCACTGAAAGCATTATCCAAAAATGAGGCTCCAGGAATTAAAATATTTCACCAAGCGGAAGAAGCACCGGAAACACTCATTTTTTGCCATGAAATTTGGAAGACAGATACTTACCCATCCCAAAATAAGGTGACCCAGGAGAATGCTCAAACTATAGAACAGTATTGTTGATATCGCGTGGAAGTAAAACTTTGCATAAAATTTTCCAACAATGCTTTCGGAAGTTCGTTGCTAGGGAACTGTCAGAAATTCGGGCTGGATACAGAAGATGATATCATTGCTGATGTCAGATGGATCTTGGCTCAAAGCAGAGAATACAAGAAAGATGTTTACTTGTGTTTCATTGACAAAGAACAGACATTCAACTGTGTGGACTATAATCAACTGTGGACAGTTTGAGAAGACTGAGAGAACTGCAGAACATTTAGCTGCGTTCTTAAGGATCGTTTACATGGATCAAGAGGCAGTTGTACAAAAAGAAGAAAAGCGTACTGCATGGTTGAAAAGCACTAAAGGCCTGCATCAGGGTTGTATCTCCCACCATTCTTGCTCAATCTGTATGCTGAGCAAATACTCAGAGAAGCTGACTTATTTGAAAGAGTGTGGCATCAGGATTGGAGGAAGGCTTATTAACAACCTAAGGTATGCAGAGGATACCACCGTTCTTCCTGAAATTGTGGAAGACTTGAAGCACTTGCTGATGAAGATCAAGGAGTGTAGCCTTCAGTGGATTACAACTCAATGTGAAAAAGACCAAAATCCTCACAACTGGACCAAGAGGCACCATCATGATCGATGGAGAAATGGTTGAAATGATCAAGAATTTTGTCTCCCTTGGATGCACCATCAATATCCGTGGAAGTAGCAGTCAAGAGTTAAAAATACGTATTGCATTAGGTACATCTGCTACACAAGACCGCTTTAGAGTATTGAAAGAGAGGATGTTACTTTGAGAACTAAGGTGCGCCTGACCCAAGCCATGGTATTTTCCATTGCCTCACACACACGTGAACGTGTGCCATTGAGTAAGGAAGGCCCAGGAAAAATGAATGCCGTTGAGTTGTGGTGCTCAAGAAGAAAACTGAACGTACCATAGACTGCTAACAGAACAAACCATTCTGTGTCGGAAGAAGGAAGAGCAAGTATGCTGCTTAGCAGGAAGGATGGCTAGAGTCCGGCTTACACACTTCGGGCATGTTGCCAAAAGAGACCAATCCCTGGAGAGCGACCTCGTGTTCGGTAAAGTGGAATGGCAGGCCAAAGAGGACATGGTCTCATGGAGGTGGATTGGCACAGTGGCTGCATCTATGGGCTCAGGCCCAGGAACGATGGTGAGGATGGCACAGGACCCGGCACGGTTGGGTTCTGTTGGGCACAGGCTCGCTGTGGGTCAGAGCCAACCAAGTGGCACCTAACAACAACAACAAGATACCTAGCTGGGTCTCTGACATCAAACAAAATACCCACAGAATGCAAGTGATGAACTGATTTTAGGGAATTTTTTAAAATCTAAACAGTAAAATTGTTAAAGATCCAAATCCTGTTTTTTCCTATTTTCCATTTTGATTTGGACTTTTGAAGGAGGTCAGGGAGGAGCAGGAGCTGTTTTTTCAATCCCAAAACTTGTGTGTAACATGCTGCAAATGCATTCATTCTCTGACACGTTCATTTGGTTCTTCATTGATTCCTTCAGCAAATATTTACGGAGCCTTTGCCACCCGCCAAGCACTGTGCTAGGCTCTGGGGATGTTTGACAAATGAAACAGAAGCTCTTCCTCTCTGAAGTGCAGGTTTGGGGAGAGAGACAACTCAGGAAGGCAGATATTACAGTGCAAAGTGTCAAACACAATGATAAATGTCTGAACAAAGATGCTGCCGTGCCCCAGAGGAGACGAGTTATTTCTCTGGTACCTGGAGGCAAACGTGCAAATAGCAACAGACTCTGTGCAAAGAGCCACAAAGGAAAGGACCGTGCCCTTACTCAGCTCCAGAGGCCTTAGAGCATCAGGCGGGTGTTAAGAGCTGCTCCTTCGGTTAGGCCCACGAGTGCAGGGACCACCGCCTCTGTGGGCCCCCAGAGTAAAGAAGCAGAAGTTGGAGGTGAGAACGCGATATGATGAAACCATCAGCCACACACAGCCATCTCTCTTTTTCTCAGCTTACATTTCATGAAAGGAGCTACAGGCCAACATCCTTTCAGAAAAAAATGCCTGGTCTCCTTTTCCTGTTTTATTTTCCTGTCTCATTGTGGTTTGTTCTTCCCCTGAAGTTTCCCTTATGAAATGTACCCCACAAGGGTGAACCTTACCCTCCAGTCACACTTAAGGTTTTCAAAACCACGGTGAGTTTTGTTTTATCTAAATAGCAGTACCGTGAGGCTTTTGAGATTAAACAGAAGTTTCTGGCTCCCTTTAAGAAGGATGTTCTCTTGCAAAGTTTTCTCTGTAAACGCTTTGTTACAAGAACAACTTCTGGAGGGTGAAACTTGGGAAATACCCTTGGAATAGATTTACCAAGGAAAGAAAGGTGAAGAGGGCAAGGAGCCTGCGCCATACGGCTTGCAGACCGGTGTTCTCCGCAAATGGCCCCACTCAGCTACCAGGAGGAGCGTGGGAGTTGGCTGGTCAGATACGAGCCGGGGGTCAAATTGTTCTTTGGGTTAAAAAGTTCCTTCATCCATATCCCTGGAGGATTGACCGCATACAAGCTCCAAGCAGCTCCTTCAACATTTTCAATAATAAAATCATAATTCCCACAGCAGAGAGGCGCGTGCATGAAAATCCTACAATCGCATCTAAAGATAACTCATAGAGTGTCACACTCATTCTTTGGAATGTCCCCACCAAATGTCCAGTTCCCAAGACCAGCCAAATGCTGACCCCTCCTTAAACTCCTATTTCTTCATCCGTTACCCTAAGTCTCCCACCATGTTCACTCTTTCTCTCTTATGGAAATCTCCTTCCTCTTTTCCCTCTCTCTCTTTTTTGTCTCATAAAACCAATTGGCAAGGAGTCTGTCCTGACTCGTAATGACCCATTGGGTGTCAGAGCAGAGTTATGTTCCGTGCAATTTTCAATGGCTGATTTTTCAGAACCAGAGCATCCGGTCTGTCTCCCAAGGCACCTCGCGGTGGGCCTGAACCCCCACATTTTCTGTGAGTGATTGAGCACAGTATTCATTGGTTCCGTGGAAAGATTCTTCTCTCACTACTCCCACGAGTATCCATTGATCCCCACGCACAGTGACTCTGCGCATCAGAGTCAGATTTCTCCAGGGTTTCTGATGCTGGACATCGTTACAGAAGAAGACTACCTCGTCTTGTTCTGCAGAATGACTGTGGGGCTCAACACGCTGGTCTCCCCATTAGCTTCACCACCTGCACCAGCAGGGAGCCTTCTATTCACAGCCCGATTGGAAAATTCCCATCGTCTTCAATTTTGCACATTCCCATGGCCTCTAAAGCGACAGTGAATCACAGTTATCTGTCCCTCACTATTTATGCTACTGAGGTAAACAGATGATGAAATGTCAAACCCTGCCGAGAATAGACTGGAAGGCCGACTGCAGGAGGAAAGCCGCGTCAGTGAACGTATAAGCTTCTCAGCGCCGACAGGGGTCTCCACACGGCTGCTCCAGCACCCAGGGCTGCATCAGGGTAGGTCCATGTGGCTTCTCCTTGGGGCTTCAGCCTTGCCAGCTGAAGCAGGGAACTACTAAGAAAGCTGCACCCTGGTCCGACCCTCACAAAGCAAGAGACCCGAGAACTAGAAAGGTGAGGCTCACCAAGCCATTTATCACTCTACCCTTCAATTAATCCTACACGTGTTTATCGGCCAGGTTGGCACAATAAACTAACTCATTACTTTTATTTTTATCTTTATATTATTCTTTCTGTTTTGGTTTTTATTGTTCCTCTTAAGTTTCCCAGTTTATGAAGCACAGAAGGAGTTGATGCATAGAGACAACAACTGATGCAATGGTTTGTGGAAGGGGAGTAAGGGAGCAAACAATGAATACAGGAGGGAGGAGGAAGCATTAGAACTGATTGTGATGATGTATATACAACTTTTAAAAAATGACTTATCTATGGAAATATATGATATATTAATTTTATATCAAGAAAATTACTGAAAACAAAACAAAACCAAAACAACCAAACTTGACCAATGGTTACCATGGGTAAAGAAGGAAGAGTCTTTACTTAGGGGAGTATTGGGTTTATGGTAATGGTGGTGGAATAATTTGGAAAAGGATATCAATAATTATTGCACAACACAAAGAGTGAATCAATGGCCTGAATTATGCATGTAGAAGGTGTAGAGTTGGAGAATGTTTTGTTGTATACATTTGTGCCACAATTTTTAAAAATTACACTAATAACAATGGGTACAAGGAAGAGGAAATGTTCTAAAATTGATGGTTGTAATGATTGGACAACTCTTTTGGATATGACTTAACTACTAAATTATATGCTATGTGGATGAAGTGCCAATAAAACTTTTTAAAAAGACGAAGTTCCTGTTTGCGAAAACCGTCCATGTGTGCTATCGCTATTACAAACAGCACTAGCTCACTAAAGCAGCACCTACCAAATAGCTTCAGTTGCACAGGAACCTGGATGTACTAAGTACAGACAAGTTGTAAATCTTCGTGTGAGCCAATGGTCTCACCTTTTTGCCACGGAGCATCCGCTGAGACGGAACCACTCACCGAGTGCTTTCCAGTCCAACCCTTACCCAGCAGCACCAGGGTTGGTGTGTGTGTGTGTGTGTGTGTGTGTGTGTGTGTGTGTGTGTTTCTTGAAACTAGCTCTTGTGTCCCAAAAGAATTTAAGTCAGTTTTGATTGTACTTTTCCTCCATTTATAACCACCCATACCAGTGTTTAGATCTGATAGGTAAGGGATCTAGAGGGCTTTTAAAGCTGTGATGCCATTATGTTTTTTAATTTAAATGTTTCCCCTAGGTGGAATGTAACCCAAAGGAAAACATTTCAGATGCATTTGCACAGCCGCCCATACCAGAACGGTGACAGTATCCAATACCACCACTGTGTGGTGAATGAAATTTCGCAACATGCCTCTTCTAGCCAAGTCTCTGTGGCTCCCACCAAATGATTGGATAGGACTATCTAAATGGGGCATGTGTTGGACAATTCTCATTACCCCCTGTGTGAGGCCTGGTTCACTAGAGAAACAAAGCCAGTAGCACTCACATATGTGTAAGAAAGAGTGTTATAGCAAGAAATAATTATATATCAGGAAAACATCTCAGCCCAGTCCAACTCAAACCCACATGTCCTATACTAGTCCTTCAGTCCCTCTTCAGACTGCCACAGCCACACGCAATGTTGCAGAATTCAGGAAGATCTCAGGTGCGTGCAAAGTCGAGTTGGATCCAAGGTCAGAGGAAAGATGGCAGGGGACCAGCTGCTCTCAAGGTGAACAGCAAGCAGGAAAGTGAAGGCAGAGAGAGGCCAGCCTCCAGAGAACTAACTATCTTGGTCATACCTCCAAGGAAGGTCCCCCGGCTTCACCCTGATTGGCAGGCTAAATTCCACTCCTGTCTTCTCACAGGTGCGGTGTTAGCACACACACAAATCTATCACACCACCCACCAGCCATGTAAAAATTTTAAAAACATCATTGCTATCGGGTTGATGCCGACTGATAATGACCCTGTAGAACAGGGTAGAACTGCCCCTCTGGGTTTCCAAGACTGTGACTGGCTAGGGGAGTAGAAAGCCCCATCTTTCTCCTACAGAGCAGCTGGTGGTTTCAAACTGCTGACCTGGAAGTTAGTGGTCCAATGTATAACCACTATGACATCACGGCTCCCTACTGGCTATATGGAGGAGCAATATCTGAAGCGGAAAGAAAAGGGAAACCCAGAGGACCTTGGAAGAACCCATTCAAGATCTCTGTCTGAAGTGGTCTTGGCTGCCCATGACCAAATACATCAGTCTTTGTGATGTGGACTCGGAGAGACATGGTGGGGACTATCGGTGTGAGACTATGGAGTTATGGGACAGAGTGACAAGCAGACAACTTCCTGGCCTATGAAGGCAAAGGCCAAAGGACAAGGTGGCTGAGAGACTAAGAACCAGAGAGATATTTAGCTGCCGGTTGAAGGGATTCATAACTGCATTCTTACTGTTAGTTAATCTTGACTTTTCGTACCTACTAACTTTCCAAATGAACCCCCTTCATTGTGAGTATTGTCTGTGAGTTCTGCATGGCCATTGCAATGAATTATGGAACCTAGCATAGATGACGAGTTCAGAGTAGGAACAGTGGGTGTCAGCATAGGTAAAGAAGGCTGGATCATGGAGGCTTGTCTGAATTCTGCCTCATGGCCAGAGGGAGGCAGAGGAGGTAGGATATGTCTGCCTCCACATAATTTACAGCACACCACCACCCCTCCCCACTATGTAGAGGGTTTTTTTTCCTTTTTCTGACCCTCCTACCCACTCCCCACTTTCCCTCCCAGTTTCTCCTCTCTTCCTCTCCCAACTCCTAAGCCCATCATAGTCATCAAAGTCTTTCCTTGGGGTGTGAAAACTGTCTCCACTCCCCTTTTATAATAATGGTGTCATGCGTGAAATATTTATCTTTATGACATAATATCCCCCAATTGTGTCTATTCCATCGGTGTTTTTTAGACTCATCGCTGTTTTTCAAGGCTGCCTCCTAGTCCACTGTGTGTGCACACCAGCGTGCATTTATCCAGTCCTCCACAGATGGGGGCTGGGTTGTTGCTATTATAGAAATTGCTGTGATAAGCAGAGGTGAGCATACACCTGTTTGCATTTTGGTCTTTATTTCTTTAGGGTTTATGCCAAGTAGAGAGGATCATAAAGTATTTCTCTCTGCATTTGTTTAAGGAAGCGCCATCCTGTGCTCTGCAGTGGCTGCTCAGTTCTTCAAGCTGCGCATTCTAATCTCTTCATACCCTCCCCAACATTTACTTTCTTTTCTTGCTTTTCTTTTGCTAAACGTGTCCATGTGAACGGGTAGCCCTTCCTTGGTCTAATCTGTATTTCTCTTACAGCTCATGAACTCAAGCACTGCTTCCTACGATTGTTTGCCACGTAGATGTTATCTTTTGTAAATTGCCTATTCATGTCTTGTGCCCGTTTTTTATTGGACTATTTGTCTTTTTCTTTTATGGTGTGGTAGTTTTCAATAGACTTTTTAAATTGGCCTTTTAGCTGATATGTCATTGCCAGGTTACACCATACAGGGACTCACTTATTGTCTAGGACTTAATAATATGCCCGCACTTCCCACAGAGTCGGGTAAAGAGATGCAGCTGGGGCCAAAGAGAGCAGAGGAAACAGCTGGAGCACACAGCTGGACAGTCTCTTCCACGTGTTTCTGTTTTGGTTTGGTTTGGGGGTTTTTTAATTACTAACTGCCCATTCGGGCATCCAAGGAACCTGGACATGAAGACAAAAATATTTACGCTAAGTTTACAACTTGGTTTTTCCTGGTCAATCCCCTATCCTGGCTCGGATTTTTCTCACATACAGATTCACAATTCAGAAAAGCTCAATAGCTATATTTTACCACGGGTTTCAGACATCCTAAGAAACGGGCAAAGAATAAGAAAGGGAAATAAAAAACCAAGAAAAACCCACACACATAATATCCGGTAAGGAGACCACATTTGTGTCCCAAGATCTATGCAAAGCCACTCTTGCAAATGGAAATGCTAATGGGTCCTTAACTCTTGATAAAATATTAGCAGTGCTGTAAGTACACGCTCTCATCTCGAGGAGATCACGCTTAATGGATCTAACTCCCTGACCTTTAAGATTTCACTTATATTTCTCAAGCTGCCCCTGAGAGTCCTTCCTCTGCTCCCTTGGAGCCATTGGTCACGGCTAACAATGTTCTGTGGTATAAGTAATTGCTCATAACGGACACTGCCCTCCAGGGTTCCTCTGCCGTGGAGAGATGGTGGCTCCAGGATTGGAGGGGCTCGGAGAGGTCGTTCAGTCTCTTAGAGCCTTCAGGCTGGAATGTGCTTAGAAGCTGTCCCAAAGAAATAGAAATCTGAACTTCCCTCGGTAACTCTTGCCAATTTTCATCCACTCTCCCTAGCAAGAAATTCTTCCTTCATTTAACTTCGAGACCGCTCATCCCAGTTATCCAATGCTCTGCTCTTATAGATTGAATTGGGCCACCCCGTCCGCCCCCACTTCATTGTCCCCCGACAAAATGGGCTACAGGTCCTACCTCTGTGCCGGGGTAATAATTCCACCTGGGGAATAGATGTCTTTGTCACGTTCATGAGACATGATACGGGCTTATTTTAAGACTGCCTCCTTTGAGACGTGTTGTTGCTAGGTGCCATGAGTTGGGTCCCACTCACAGCGACCCAATGGGCAGCAGAATGAACCGCTGGCCCGTCCTGCGTCATCCTTACCGTTGTTCTTGTATTGAAGCCCTCTGCTGCAGTCGCTGGGTCAGGAAATCATGCCAAGGGCCTCCCTCTCTTTAGCTAACCTCTCCTTCGCCAAGCATCATATCCTCCCGGGGGCTGCTCCCGACAACACGTCCAAAACGCACGCTGAGATGCACAAGAGCAGAAACACCAAGAGACAAGGGCTTTCCTCCAGGGCTGCAGGAGAGAGCCTCCCTCAGCAGCCAGCACCAGGAACGTAGTCTGACGCCTAAACGATGAGAAAAGAAACTCTGGTTTGTTGAAGTCACCTATAATGGGATTTCAACGACAGAGGCACTGGGTCATCCAGACACCCTTTTATCCTCGGTGGAATAAAGCCTTTCAGAGATGCAGCGACCCAATGCATAAGTTAACCCTAGTCCCCAATCAACTCCAAACGCACTACCACGGAGTCACTCCCAACTCAGAACGACCCGCTAAGACAGAGTAGAACTATCCCTCTAGGTTTGGGGTAAATCTTTAGCAAAGCAGGAAGCATCATCTGGCTCCTGTAAAGCACCTGGTGGTTTTGATCTACTCAACCTGCCGGCAGTAGCCCAGCTCATAACCCACCATGCCACCAGGGCTCCTGAACTTTAGCTAATAAATTGCTTTACGAAGTACCAGGTTCTATGACTGGCCCTCTGCTTAGCACTAAAGATAGAAAGACGGACCAGCCTATTTGCTGGGAAGTAAATCATATATTTATATGCAATAACAAAGCGCAGGCATTTTCAAACAGTATGTCCTGAAAAGAAATGCATCCCATCGTTCCTCTTTAAATATGAAACTCAGAGCGGTATTGATCTGGTTCTCAAAGCACTCTCGACTTTTCTGCCAGGTTCAATAATTTATTGCACTGGCCACATAAAACCCACAGACAAGGCTCACAATTCTTAGGGAAGAGAACGGTTTACAAATGCTTGAGAGACAGTCTCTTCTCTGCTGAGCCCACAGGCAGGCCTCGCTCAGCCTCCGGGCCTGACCTCTGCTATGCTCTGCCCGGGCAATGTCTCCAAGCTCTTGTAGGGCTGCCAATAAATGCCCAAAACATTCGCTCCTCCACTGTAAGCCTCAGACCAAAGACACTCCAGTCCAGCTCCAGGGATCAACAAATTTAACTCCCCCAACGAAGCATCCCAAAGCAATTGCTCGGCGGCCTCGGAAGTCCGCTCTCCTCTGCCTCCTGCTCTCGCCTGAGCCCGCCCGCGGCCACAGCTGCTCTTCCTCTGCCACTCCTCTGACGGCAAAGCCATCTCCTTGATCAAGACGGTTCAAGCCACAAGGATGCTGGGCTCCAAAGGACACACTCCCATCCTTGCTCCACTTCGCACTTGTGGATAATAAAATCATCTCCCACACACTCCCATCATTTTTTTTCTTCTGAGATGGCTCATTTTACACCCGGCAGGATGACAATCACCATTAACCTGCTAATAATTGCTCACAGCTGAATCATAATCCAACC